AAAAAAAAAAAAAAAAAAAAAAAAGAACTCTAACACACCCCTTTTTGGACAGAGGAAAATTAATTAAAAAAGCTGCTAGTAATTGCCAAAACATGGGGAAAGATAAATTTAATATTTTACTCCTTGGTTTTGCATAATAATGTATTTGTCTATCTTTTTTTCCCATTGTGCATTGATGTTCCGTTGAAATCCTTTTTATTAGCATCACCCTTCTTTGATACCACTTTTGGAAGTGGTTTAGGCTGTTTTGCTTGAGATTGTCATGAAGTTGCACTGCATGATTTTTCTCATAAATCCTCGTTGTTTTCTTTGCAAACTTTTGGTAGTCCCTTTTTTCTAGTTGCCTTTCTATCTTAATTGTTCTAAATGCCGGGAAGGTACCATTATCTGTTTCTGTTTTGTTTTTGTTTAGGATCAAGAACTAACATAAGTTTGGAGCAATCCAAGTGTAACTCAAATGAGCCACACAATGAGTACGACAAAGAATTATTTGAGGCGTGCATGAGACGGTTCTTGTACACTCGTTGCCATGATAGTTTTGAATTTCTTGCCACTCTTAAGGTGAGCAACTCTACGTGTGATGTTTTATTATGCTATAGACTGTTGAAGTTTTTTATATCGACAATTTGCTAACCCTGCCATGTCTGGCAGTGTGAATCTGTGCTGGAGATGAAGTTGAGAGTTATCTTCTGATATGAAGAAAGCAACAACATTTGTAGGAACAACAACCAATGATTACCAAATGTATAAGTGCAAGAGGAATGTAAAAAGGAAAGTTAAATTTAAGATGATGAGGACAAAACATGGAGCAGTACATGTAACCAATACATTTCCTTTTGCATTAATGAGAAACATTTTGTAAAAAATCTCGCAAAGGAGCCTCTACTTAGGCAGTGGAGAGGAACTTACTGTTAAGGGGTGATGCAGTCCGCTCACTCACAGATGGACTGATACATAATGAGATAGGAATACAATACGATACACATATAGCAATATGACAAAACCTAAAAAAATGGAATACAAACATGATTGGAATATGTCAAAAAAATATATTTTATATTTTTAGTATTATTTGCTAGCTTGATAATTATTATTTCCAATTAATTATATAAAAACAATGCAGAAAATTAGTGATTTTTACTGGCAAAGAAGCATAAATGTTCTCATTATGTTATATTCACAGAGTGGACATGATTAATTGGTTTGCTTAGAAAATCTTGTTGCCGAGAGGTGGTGTTACAAACTCATTATAAGAAGTTTTACATGTGAGAATAGATAATACTTAAGAAATAATCGTGTTATTTGTGCATTTTTCCGTGTTGCATTGTATGTAAATTAGACATCAAATGGTAAGGAATAAAACCAAAAACAATATATGTAGAATCGTGGATCCATGAATTCATTTTCGTGTCCAACTTCTTCTACTTAACATTTTGTGCATATTGCCTAATTCCATTTGGCGATGTGGCGACCAATGCAACTTAATGTCTCCTGAATCGATGACCAATACTACAACATTGTACCACGGCTAATATAAGTGGACAAATGTTGATTTGTGATCATTAAGCTTATCTTTTTACCCAGCTTATCCCTACCTGTGGCTGCATCTACTGCTTCAAATTATGGTAGTAGTTTCTGCCGATGGGTGGGCTATAGCTCGAGCCAAAATGCTTCGCACTCTATTTTTTATCTTTGATTCTTCGAAGAATAATAGAAATATAAAAATCCATTGTATTATAAACCTATGGTTGGTATTACCGTATGCTTGTTTTTTAGATTTTGTATTGTCATGTACACATCGTATTATATTGGTATTCTATAACTATATTTGCGCCTCATATACGAAGACTAAATAGTCATCAATTAGTTCAAACACTGGGGATCTAGTTTGAACCTTGTAGAATGTTAGGTTATTATTTTATTTTAAATTGAGGGTATTATTGTAATACCCACATTATTATGAGTTAATATAAATACGGGTGATGAGTAGAGAGGCAAATTAACTCTCATTCTTCTAAACCCTATTTCCTAATCTTTTCTTTCTTTGTTCTCTCTTCTCTTGTCTCTTCTCCACTATAAATCCTAGATTTAATTTGGTATTAGAATATCTAAACTTTGGAGGCACCAAAACACTCAGGGACCAGTTGCTGACCTATTGAGCTACTGACGTCATCGCCAGAATGATGACGTCATCGCCGAAGTTGATCGAAACTGATATGGTCAGGCTCATTATTTGCTCCTGAGTATGATTGTGATTTTTCTAGATTTTTTAAAGCCATCTGAGGTACTTTTTCATTTTTTGAATGTTTTTCAAGATTTTGGGTCATTTTTCGATCTGTTGTTTGGCTGAAATTGGGACTATTATACTCACTTTAATGCACACTGTGGGTGTAGACTACCCTTCCTAAGAACTCAGTTGAAGTTTTGGGTTGCACCCAGTTGTTTTGGGGTGATTTTTTGTGGTTATTTGGACAACTACAGACTACTGTTGGTGCTACTAGGCTTCGACGAACTCTAACTATAAAGGCATCTTCATCTCAGAGAGGAAGTATATCCTTAATCTCCTGAAGGAAACTGGTATGCTGGGTTGTAGACTTGTTGAATCACCTATTGAGACAAATCACAAACTAAGAAGTGATGTATGTGATCAAATTGATAGAGAAAGATATCAGAGGCTTGTTGGCAGACTTATATATCTTTCTCACACTCACCAAGACATATCATATGTAGTGAGTCTTGTTAGCCAATTCATGCATGCTTCATGGGTCCCTCGTCAAGAGGCAGTTCATCGTATACTCAGGTCCCTCAAATCATCTCCGAGTAAAGAAATATTATTCTCAAAGTAAAGTTATCTAAGAGTATAAGTTTTAACATATGCAAATCGAACAGGGTCAATTGAAGATAAGAGGTTCACTACAGGGTATTATTACCTTTGTAGACGGAAAATTAGTTACTTGGCGGAGCAAGAAGCAAGCAGTGGTGGTTAGATCTAGTGCCGAGACTAAAAAAAAAAAGGGTTATGACCCATGGTATTTGCGAGCTTATGTGGTTGAAAACCTTAATGAAAGACTTGGGTGTCTCTAATGGTGGTTCTATGCGCTTGTATTGTGATAATAAGGCTGTCATAAATTTTGCTCACAACCCCATTTAGCATGATAGAATAAAGCAGATTGAGATTAACAGACATTTCATTGAAGAGAAGCTAAGTGATGGGCTAATTTGTATGCTATTTGTGATGTCCAAGGTGTTGGCCCAAAGTGCAACCTAAGCGGAGGGTGAATTAGGTTTCAAAGCTAATGCCCAATTTAAAATCTCAAATTGATAAATGATGAAATTGATAAATGTGAGTTGCTAAATATTGATTAGATGATATGTGAATGATGGTGTGTATATATGTAATAAACACAAAATAAAGTAGAGAGCGAAGGAGAATACAAACACAAGAATATATAGAGGTGCAACCCCAACACTTGGCTTAAATCCTCTTCCTCCTCCCCTTGCATGTTCCCTTTCTCTTCCTTGAATTGCTTCAATGGGTGAGATCCCAAATCCTTGCACCTTTCTCTTACTTGAGTACAATACAAATATCCCTCTTTGTAAGCTTCACTCAAGAAGAACAATCTATCATCAAAGTAGTGCTTTAGAGTATAGCTATGCACATGGATCATATGGATATGGTATCCCTTCGTAAGTTATGAGGCCTACTAGTACTAATATTGCCGGGTATTATAGCCATCGTCCTACGCATCTTGAGAGATCTATTAGTACTAGTACTGGTGGCTACTATGATTGTGTTCCAAGGAGACATCATGATAGACCTTCTAACATGACATTGGATTGTGTCAACTTTTATGAATATGATTAGTCTTCTTCTAGCAGTGGTCGTGAATATTGTGGTTTTGGGTACTATCAACATGTGAACCAACCAATACAATCTTCACAGTCACACTACTCTGATTATGAGTCATCTAACCAATCAACTCAATCAACCCGAATAGACCCATATTCACACTCGTATTCTTATCCTTATGATAGACATTATCCTAATTTGTATTATTCTATAGGCTATAACAATGATTTTGAATCTCAACGTCATTTAATGTGGCAATAATTATGGTTCAGTATGTGCTTAAATGCCTACGTTGAACATTAATAATGATAATTATTTTCAGTAATGTACTTATATTTTATTTTAATTATATTTGATGCGTTTTTAGATGTATTGTAGACATATGATGCATAACTGATGATGTTTATATTTTTAGAATTTCTATAATTTTTTTGAGCTTTAATCTAGCATTTTAGGCGTATCGACTGATATCGTGCTGTGATGCCGCGGCCAATGTGTATCAGTACCCTCAGAGTTGATGGTCGATACTGCGACTTTGAACCATGAGATCGACCTTTACCAGCTCTCCTATAATCTGAATTTAAATAACAGACTAAAGAATCGGTCTAAGGCCCTGAGTATAGAACAACCCAAGTCCAAGATAAGACTTGAGGTATCGAAGAATATGATATACCGCATCTAGATGAAATTGACACGACTTGTGCATGAACAGATTAACTCGGTTGACGAAAAATAAAATGTCTGGCCTAGTGTTGACTAGGTAGATAAGCCTATCTACCAACCTCTGATAAATAATTGGATCTCAATTCCTCACCTTTAGCATTAAGCTTCAGGTTTAGAATCATAATGCATGATGCCGGTTTGCACCCAATATCCCAGTGTTCGAGAGAAGATTCAAAACTTACTTCCTTTAAGAGAGAACAATATCCCGGCTGCTATGGAAAACCTCAATCCCAAGAAAGGACTGTAGAAATCCAAGGTCCTTCACGTCGAAGGCCTTCCTAAGGTCAATCTTGACTTGTGTAGTTTTAGAAACGTCATCTACAGTGATAATAATATCATCCACATATATCGAGAGAATGACACACTACCTAGAAGTATTCCATCGAATGAAGCATAAATGGTCAAAATGACATCTAATGAAGCCTAAATGTACAACTACACCACAAAATCAAGATAACCAGACTTGTGGTGACTGCTTTAGTCCATAAAGAGACTTACACAGTCGACACATCTTCCCAACATAATCTCCTCACCACGAAAGTCAGGTGGTGCATTCATATAAATAGTCTTGTCTAGGTTACCGTCAAGAAACACATTCTTTATATCCAACTAATGAAGGGGCCAAGAATATGAGGTAGTAAGAGATAATCAAACGAACCATAATCAACTTTGTCACGTGGGCAAAGGTAGCTCCAAAATCACGCCCTAGAACCTAAATAAAGTCCTTTGCTACAAGCCTAGTCTTGTGACGATCAATTGTACTATCTGTAAAAAATTTTAAGATGTAAACCCAGCGATAGCCAACATGCTTCACTCCTGAAGGTCAAGAAATAAGATCCTATGTATGGTTACGATGAAAAACGTCAATCTCCGTTTGCATAGGAAGAACCCACTGAGGTTCTTGCACAGTCTCTAAAATAGAGCGAGGAATTGGTGTATCTGATAAGGCTATGCTATAAATCCGAAATGTAGGAGACAAATTAGTATAAAAACATAACTAGAGATTGGATATAAAGCCCTGACAGCCTAACCATAATGAACAATTGACCGATGGTTACAACATGGATAACGACGCCTTGAATCATTATCCTTCAAAGACTAGTCTCATCGGATAAATCAACTGGCCTAAAAACCTCAACACTTGCAGTCTCATC